TGTGTGCCTCCTCCTCCTCCTCACTGTGTGCCTCCTCCTCCTCCTCCTCCTCCTCCCCACTGTGTGTGCCTCCTCCTCCTCCTCCCCACTGTGTGCCTCCTCCTCCTCCTCCTCCCCACTGTGTGCCCACTGCCACTGCTGAAAACTAACACAAGTGAGAGGTTTTCTCCAGGGTTGTGACGCCCACTTCTCCACACAGCGACGAATGTTCACCGCACAAGGACTACTCAGAAGAGAAGAAATGAGGGCCGGGCGGTGGTGGCGCACGCCTTTAATCCCAGCACTCTGGAGGCAGAGGCAGGCAGATCCCTGTGAGTTCCTGGCCAGTGTGGGCTACAGACTGAGTTCCAGGACAGCCAGGGCTACACAGAGAAACCCTGTCTCAAAACAAAACAAACAAACAAAGAGAAATGAAAAGAAATGAGGACTTACTTCCCTGTTCCCAGTGAAGACCATGTGAAGGAGGATTCCTGGAAGGGGCTATGTCAGCAAAGGCTGATGGACCTCAGCGATGTAAAGAGTCCGGAAACTCATTACAGTTTACACTGTGTTAGCATCAGCCTCCTAAATTAGAGACATGCTTTGCCCACCTCTGTGTAGGACCCAACACCCTGTGTGTGGACTAGAAGATACAGCCTGATCTAACATCCTGAAAAACAGGTTAAAAACCAAAACCAAACAAAAAAACCTTTGGGTTGTATTGCAACAACAGTCCACAGAATTTGTTTTTAATAGGTGAAACCATTCATTCAGTTCCCAAGTAGTAGGTTTCTATTAACTTAATAGATTCAAGTTGAACTAGCAAAGTGAAAATAGTTTCTGAGGTGTTTCATGTGCCGGGGGCTTTTTCCTCTCTAGAGTCTCATTTTATTAAAGAACTCTTGGGAAGGCAGAGCTTCAGCTGCGAGACTCTGGGCAGTTATGAGCCCTTCTGAGCTGCATGTGCAAACCGAGTTTAGTCACCTCGCAGGGCTGCTGGGGATGCTGAGTGGAACGGCACTTGTAAATAGCCACCACACAGGCTCGGGAAATCACTTTCCCTCTCTGGCTTTCTTCTGCGTGGCCTAAAAAATGTTATTATCACTCACTCAGTAGTCCACAGGGGTAAGTTACCAGCAAAGAACATCTCAGAATCTTTCTTGCTTTTTTTAATTTCAACTTGGCTGTACTTAAATGAATGGGAATCTCTATGACCCAGGAACTGAAAACATCATTACTTCTGTTATCAACGTGAAGAAAAGTACGACTTCTCTAAGAATCTGACTGGTCATTTAAAAAGACACAGGCTGAAGAGTCCAAATTAAACACAAGCAACAACCCCCAACATGCACACTCAGATGGGGAAGAGAGACAGCGGCTATCTGAGCAGCTTTGGGAATTTAGAGCATGCTATTGACTCCCTACTGAACAGCAGGTATGAAGTCTGAGGACGCAAACGCCCAGCCCCTGACTGGCAGGGTCCAGACTTGGACAGTGTGTCCCTGCAGTCTTAGCTGGCGGCAGTCGTTTCGTGTCACCACAGGAGCCCCAGCCTGAACCACAGCGGACTCACCTTCTCCTTAGTGCAGGAGAGCTCGTGCTCAGCCTCTGCCAGAAGTCGGTCAGCTTCCCTGAGTTCCGAGCGCCGCTTCAGAAGAGTCTTCTCTATGCACGCAACTTCATCAACAATATCCTCATGGCGTTTGAGAGACTTTTCTATTTCTAGTTCAGTCATAAGATTCTCAACATTTCCATCAATGAAGTCCCTAAAAAATGACATAAATATTGAGAGATTTGAAACAGACCATATGTATAATCATAGAATGTGAATTCACTAACTTTCTAAGAGAGGTAGCTACAATTGGTTATGTTCTACTCGAGTTCAAAATGTACTCTTATTATAAACACGGATATTCCTGGCAGTAAATGCACACTATGTAAAATGCCTGATGGATTTGTGCTGTCAACATCTGGCCAAGACAGCGCTGCCACATTATTTTTCTGAAAAACAGAAATAGAGGAAATGACTCCATGATAATATCCAGTTCCTCTGACAGTCTTCAAGGACAGTCCTCAGGTCAGTCAGCCCAAACACTGCATGGCTGTGTGACTTACTCTTTATGTCAGAGTAAAGCAGTCATAAAAGATTTGACCAAAAAAAAAAAAAGGACACAAAAGTCAGTAACTCAAGGCTAACATGACAAAATTAAATGAAAATGGACTGCTTCACAGAAAAACATGAAAACAAGCCCAGCACACTGATGCTTTTCTTCTTTCTTTACTCAAAGGTATACAGAGAACTTTTTGCCTTTTTTTTTTAATTTTCTTACAATTTTATTTGGTATTTAATCATATTTTATATTGGTGAACTTTTGCCTTTTTAAAACTCTGATTTGTGTCTCAGGTCTGACAAATCTCCTGGAATGATCCTTCATCACTCTAAGAGTGGCAGAAGTGGCACCCTACTGCCCTGCCCGCTGTCCTCTTAACACGCATTTGTCACTGAGAAGTAGCTATAGCCCCACCCCGTTCTTCTCTGCATGGCTCTCGCTTTCCTCAGCACTGTAATCCCTCAGCTGTCCACTCCTTGATGGCAGTGATCTGCATGCCTCACTCCGCATGCCTCACAGGCCTCCCTACCACCCTGAGCCTTGGCTAGTCTGGATTAAATGACACCAACTAGGGAGCTGCCATAATCCATGGACCAGCACAGAAGATGTTTTAGATGACTGACCAGACAACAGAGGCTATGTGAACTGACTCTATGCTAGGTGCTGGCACCCACAGACGGAGACCCTGCTGACTCTGGCTGCTCACAGCACTGCATGTGCAGGGCTATGTCAAGGGTTGCTAGCCCTAAATTTTACAGGCTACCTGAAAAGAAGAAAAAAGAAAGGCTTTATGTAAAAGGGATTCCCTGACCTTGCTTTAATTTGTTTTTTAGATTTTATGTGTATGAATGTTCTGCTTGCGTGTATGTATGTGCACCACTGCATGCCTGGTGTCCACAGAGGTCACAAGAGGGTGTCAGATCCCCTGAAACTGGAGTTACGGATGTTTGTGAGCACTATGGGGGTGCTGGGAATGAAGCCTGCATCCTCTCCAGAAAGCAACCAGTGCTTTCAAGTGTTGAGCCCTCTCCCCAGTCTCTCCAGCCCAGCTCTGTTTTGAAAGGCAGGACAGAGAGACAGGGCCTGGGGAAGGCATTTCAGGAAGAGGACAGAAGATGTGGAGGTGTGGAGGTGGGGGAAAGTGGTGCCGGGGAGGCCGTAGAAGTGGGTCAGGTCAAGCACTGTGTGAGGCTAAAGGACGACAGAGAGGCAGGGTTCCGACTGTCTGTGTACTGAGATGAGGCTGAGTCCAGTGTTTCCTGACACACTGGAGAGAAAGATTCTACACATGATGGCAAGCGTGGAACCTTCTCTAGTGGTCTAGAATTCCACTAATTAAAGGGAATGATGGGGTTGGGGATTTAGCTCAATGGTAGAGCGCTTGCCTAGCAAGTGCAAGGCCCTGGGTTCAGTCCTCAGCTCCGACAAAAAAAAAAAAAAAAAAGGTCACGCAGTGAAAATAACAGAAAATGGTCAGAAGGACAAGGAAACCAAACAGATGCCATGGGGAAAGAAGGTTTAAACACCCAATTGTATGTTTTGCTGTGGTAGCTGGGATGGAGAATGGTCATGCCGTTCACCAAAGACAACTACAAAAAGAGCCGATTTGTATTATTTACCAGGAGATCTTAGATATTTGCTGTCCTAAATGGTATTCACCATGTGGGCATTAAACTAACTGCAATTAAATTGTTTCTCAGTTCCTACTGCCACATCTAGAGATCTCCACCCACTCCGAAGCAGTGCTGACGGAGGGTGCCCTTCAGAACTGATATTGTACGTACCCTCTGAATTATAAAAATAGAATGGCAAATGCTTACTGTCGTTGTTGATGTTTCTGGATGGTTCTGTGCAATTCTTCTACTTCCTGTTCTAATTCCTTCTTCTCTTGCAAAAGGTCATCAATATTGCGATGCAGCTCTTCTACTTCTTTCTCAGAATGCTGCTTGGATGTTTTCAGCCACTGCTCTTCCCGCCGTTTTGATTTTAGCTGCTGCACTATGTCTTCCAGTCTAGACACTTCATTCTCCTGACCACAGAAAGTGAATGCATTACTATGACGTCAGAGGGCATCTCTTCCCTTTTGCTGTCAAAACTGAAATCAATTGGATCAAGTGGTCTAAAAAATAGTGGGACATTCTAAGACTTCAGTATGGAGAGGAAAATCGAAGCCAGTGTTTTCACATGGCATAGATGAAACAGACAGACTTCACAAGACCTTTCCACCAGTCTGACGATGCATTAGATTCTCTGTCTCTGGAGCTCCAGATCCAGCAGAACAAACACACTGAAGTCTCTCTTCACTCTCCACACATGGGAGAATTGTTGGAATAGGTTCCTAGAAGAAGACATGTTTTGCCTACATTTTGTAGAATGAATAAGGTAAACTGAATCTCAAGAAATAAAAAGCTAGCCAGGCAGTGGTGGTGCATGCCTTTAATCCCAGCACTTGGGAGGCAGAGGCAGGCGGATTTCCGAGTTGGAGGCCAACCTGGTCTACAGAGCAAGCTCCAAGACAGCCAGGGATACACAGAGAAACCATGTCTCGAAAAACTTAAAAAAAAAAAAGAAAGAAAGCAGCAGTAGCTAGCTGCTGCTAAAGTGTCTGGGGTGTGAAAGCACACTGGCGCAGCTGTCTGAGTCCTGTATTCTTGAAGGGCTGCAGCAGGCCCAAGCACAGCAAGCATGGCACTAACAGGTTTGCCCTTCACCTTTCTCTTTCTCTCTTGCTAAAAACCATCAGATTACATTCCTAAAGCAAGCCACCAAGGCCTGTTCCCTTATTTGGCCACTTCCTCCCCCTGAGGCTAACAAGGTTCAGCTATCAAAGTATTTTAGTCCAGCAATCAGAAGCCCCCTTTTGGCTCACCTAATTAACATGCTCAATCAAAATTAAACATCTCATCCTAACATGGGGGTTTCCCCTTGTCCCTTAATAAACTGTCTCCTCTCTATCTAGAAGCAGCCCTTTGTTCCTCCTGGGCAAATATTCCGCGCCACCACCACCCCCCTTCTCTTTTTCCTTGTCCTCTGCCTCCTGTCTTTGTCTGGGGCAAATAGATCTCTTTTGTGCTGAGAACTAGGTCTCAGTGTGTCCTGTGCCAATTCAGTCCTTTCACTTCTGGAGAGTAGACGCAGCAATCCAAGCAGTCTCAGCAAATGCTTAACAGACAGATGGTTACAAGCTGAATGTACATCAGAGCCACAGAAAATGTGGGTAATTACTGTAGTAGCCACACAAATGCATGTGGGCCCTGTGGACCAAGTGTGACCTACTAGAAGGGAACACCAGGTATTTTCTCTTCTATCCCCTCAGTGGGCTGAGAAGGGAGCAAAGAACAAAAGCTCCAAGTGCTCTGAGCTCAGAAGAGGACTTGGAATGCAGTTTTATTATGTCAGAACCCAGAAGTTAGAAAGCAATCAGATCAGGAAGTAATCCCTCCTTAGAATCTAGCCTAAGAAAAGAATAAAAATCACACTTAAGAATCCACAGTCACCTATTACATCTACAAATAAAGAAAGATTATACAGATGTTAACATGCTGTTTAAAAATATTTGTAGGGACTGTTATATAACAGTTTCCTCCTATATTGAAACATTCCATACTGCAGGGAAGCTTCTTAAGCAAGAAGGTCAACAACTCAAAATAGCTCCAGGAAGTCCCTGAAACTGACTATATTTACTAAGCCCCTCCCTGCCAGAGTAAGCAGAGCTAAGTTGCGAAGACTGAGATGCCTGTAAGTGGTTTAGAGCAACTCAGTCACTTGGACAGGACACTCTCCAACCTGTGAGCTGTCAGTGTATACAGTGTGCTCCAGGTGCCCAGCTTTTGTGAGCCAGGGTGGGCCTTGGTGATGCAACTGTCTGTGATTTCTGTTCCTGTAAGTAACCCCTTACCCACATTCCTGTAAGTGACCCCAATAAACACTCATTGGTTCACCAAGCTGGACTTTGGTGGGATCTGTACTTTGTTGTGGGTTCCCTATCCCAGGTGAGGAGATACGTGTTGTGTCTCCCCAGGAAAAGTTTTTCATACAACAGTTCTTTCAGAGGACTTAGGTCCCTTTCCCAGAACCCACACCAGCTTCTCACAACTATCTCTAACTCCAGCTCCAGGAGAGTTGATACCATTTCTGCCTCTGAGGGCATCACATTCATATGTATACTCTCCCAACACACATATACATGTAATTAAAACCAATAAAACCTTAAATTGTAAACTACTAGGTATTATTTCTAACATTAAATGGGAAAATGGAATTCAAATGTGCATACAACAGTAACCATGGAAATAATGTATAATCATCAGTTAACCCAGAGGTAATTCCAACCCATACCTGCTGTATGCTCTTTATACATGTCAGCATATACAGGCACACATGTACATGTGAAGCATACTCACATGTGCATAAGCTATAGGTACCAGTATGTGATAGCATTACATAAACACTCCTACACAGTTAACAAGAGAAAATCATAGGAAAATTGTTGGTTTTTAGACTGAAAGCATTTTAGAAAACAGCTAGCTGTGCCAGGATTTGGGCTTGAGAATTTACTATCCTGTTCAAAATCATATTTTAATAGGAGAATGTTTGGTTCGTAAACATCAATCCTATAATCTCACTCCTGAGGTAGGCCCACATTTCTGTGAACTCATCACATGTGCGTCTGACTCAGGCACTGGGAAGTGGTGTGGACAGACTTGTGTTTCCCACTTACTAGGTTATGATACAATGACAGAGCTGTGTTTCCCACTTACTAGGCTATGGTACAATGGGGATAGAGTTATGTTTCCCACTTACTAGGCTATGGTACAATGGGGATAGAGTTATGTTTCCCACTTACTAGGTTATGGTACAATGGGAGAGAGCTGTGTTTCCCACTTACTAGGTTATGATACAATGACAGAGCTGTGTTTCCCACTTACTAGGTTATGGTGCTCTGGGACGTTGCAATGCTGCACACCCAAAGGGACAAGGGGAACAGCAAAGTTGGTGGGAGGAGGTCCATATATGATGGGGGCCCCAGCAGGAGGTGGGCCATAAACCACAGCGCCAGGGGTCAGAGGTTGACTGTTGTTGGGTAAAGGAGGCGATGGTGCATACAAGGCCATTCCCTGGGGTACCGGAGACCCATCAGGAAGCACAGTATACATTATGTACCCAGGAGGAGGCACAAATGAGGGGTCCTCCTGGTCATCCAGTCCACTCTCTTCTTGGCTATCTCCTCCACTGTCCGCATCTTCTGTGAAACAAACAGGAGAGTGTACTAGGTAAGTACATTTACGAAGAAACAATACCACTTCAATGGAAACAATGGAGACGTAGAACAAAACTCTAAGAATGGTCAACTGTAGTTGTGAGAAACAGATCAATACACAGTGTTTTCAGCAGCCAGCATTTCACGCCTCTTCATCCATTAATTAATAATGTACTCAACAATCATTTGAATATATGCTTCATCCTACAGAAAATATGTAGAAGTGTTATGAGATCAGGTAGAACTCCAACTGATTCTGCCATGACATGCAGCACTCTAGTATGGAGGTTTATCTCCCCTTAAGGCAGGAGCTGGGCTGGAGGACCTGACATTAAATAAAGCAAACACACAGCAGCACTCATCCAATACAGAGTTTCTGTTGGTTTGCTTTTGTGTTGCTAGGGGTGGAACTAACAATGAGCCACATCCCCATCCCAACAAATACTTTCTTAATTGGCAAATCATCAAAATGGAGCATTACTATGTCACAGATCAACAGTCTCAGAGCAGTAAAATGATTTGACTATGACCACATAAGTCTCATTCTTTGAACAGAGCTTTGGAAGAGTAACCTCTGACAATCTTAGTAGAGCTACTACATAAAGCCATGATATTAAAAAAAAAAAGGTCCAATGCCCCATGATCCCGAGCACCAGCCACAGAGCTGTCCAGTGGGAGAGTGGAGGAAGGCACCACACGGGGAGCACAGTCTTACTAAACCCCGACTATGAATCGGTTTGGGGAAGGAAAGAGGAAGACAGCATTACAGAAAAATTGCCTTAAAACATGGAGGTGTAGAGGTTGAGGATGTAGCTCGGTGGCCAAGTGTTCGACCCACAGCACTGAAAACAAACAACAAAGGCAAAGGGGCTTGAGGAACTTGGCATGCTACAATATCTTTTGAGCAGTGGTCCTCAGCCTTCCTAACGCTGCGCCCTTTAACACAGTTCCTTACGTTGTGGTGACCCCCAACTGTAAAATTATTTCATTATAGTTTGTAACTGTAATTTTGCTACTGTTATGAATCACAATGTAATTAATTATCTGATATGCATGATAAGCAGCCCTGTGAAAGAGTTGTTCAACCCCCAAAGGGTCGCAGTCCACAGGCTGAGAACCACTGCTTTAGACAGATAATGAAGGGACACTAACCAGCCCACTGGAGCATGTGGCTCCGGCAGGCCTTACCCTTCTCCCATTCCCTCTGCCTTGCTAAAATCCTTTAGATTACAGTCCTAAAGCTAGCCACCAAGGTCTATTTGGTCAATGTGGCCACTTCCTCCTCCTGAGGCTGACTACCAAGGTCCAGCAATCAAAAGCTCCCTTTGATTCACCTAATTAAATTAAAATTAAACACCTCATCCTAACATGGGGTTTCCCCTTTGCCTTTATGAACCCTATTTGCCTAAGGGCCATGCCTGTTCCTCTCTATCTATCCAGAGACCGTGCTTTGTCCCTCTGGACAGATGCCCCTCCCCATTTCCCCCCCCCCCATCGTCCTTGATCTCCTCTATCACTGCATCCCAGCCCATCCTAACACAGACCTCTCCTTCTCCCTTAAAGAATGACACCTGCAACATCTTTTGCTGCTGTTTTTCTGCCAGAGTCAGAAAGTAGCCGCTTTAACTTTTCTTCCCAGCTTAATAAAGGATTCTCTGTGAAAACAGGTCTTTGGGTGTGGTTTGTGCCTAATCTGGGGTCTGGAAGGAACCCCCTGCTGTGTGGGAGTCCCCTTCAGATAATCTATGGGAAGATAGGTTATTGGCCAACACAGGATTACACAGGACCTCAGAGTAAGCTAAGGACTTTGGAATGCATCTGTAGATTTCAAGGAAACAATAAAAGGTTATTAAATAGGTAAGAGAAATGCAACTTCCCTTATGTGATGTGACCTACCTCTAGTTGAAAATGACTTATGCAACCTATTTCTGATGGGTGAATAGACCCAGTATCCTGAAGCAGGCAGAGGTCCACGGTTGTCCTTCTCTTCTTGCTGTCCAGGCTGTGGTTTTCTAAGAGGAGTAGAAGCTGTATACTTTAGACCTAAACCGGAGTCCTTGGTGGCCTGAGAACTATGGCTGGAAACCTAAAAACAGTGACAGGAGAGCACATTGCCTATTATCAATGGAAAGGCTGACCTGTAGATATATCAAAGTATATAGCTAAGTTGAGATACACACAAACTAAGAAAGGATTTGTTATTTCCTTATTATGATTCTTATTGTTCACAGAAATAAGAAATGATTACACAGTTATAAACTATGGCCCATATATATGGCTCAGCTTATTAACATTTCTTTAGCAGAGCAGTGTCAGGAAGGCTGGGCAGAGAGGAGTATATTTGCATTGGCTAGAGTTATGTCAAACTTCTCTGTGAAAAGGGAAGGGATCTCTTCAGGAAGTTATGTAATAGCATCTGAAGGGTCCAGGAATATAGAAATATAAAATTGTAAACCTAAAAAATTAAAATAAAAGCTGATAGTCATCAGCTCTAAAGATTAACTTCTAACAATGGCTCTCTGCTTACAGCCAGCTTCTCTATCAACAGCCAGGGGTTAACTTTTAGCCCCCTTGCCCCTGACAGCCAACAACTGCCCGGACCAAAGTTAACTTTAATAGTTAGTTGTTTCTACATGACTCCTAGCATGCACCCCGTGCCTGATGCTTACTTCTGCTATAAAAAGGGGCTTGAAATCCACCCCCTTCGCCACAGCTTCAGAATCCCGCGCCCTGGCTGTGATCTCAGCTAACTGACAAGCTTTTGTGCCCTGTGGTAATTTTTTCTTTTTTTTCTAGAATAAAATCTGCTTCTGGTTTAACAGACTTTGGTGGTCTGTCCTCCATTATTACATGATCCCAGACCCTGTATTTGGTGCTAAAACCTGGGACCTCTCGCAATACTGGTTCTGGGGGGCACCTCAGTCTCTGGCAACTTTATCCTACTGGTTTTGGCCAACTCTAAGTTTTTTGTCTGGTTTCTGTATCTGTTGTCTAGATAAAACCGAAGCTCAATTAGAGTGGGTTGACCCACCTGAGCTGGCAGGGATGAAGGACACCTCAACCCCTCTTCTGGCCACTGGTTGCTTCTCTGCCGCCCTTCAGGCCTGGACTGGGAGCCCCAGGTCCCTGCACGCAGTGTTCTTCCTTCTTTATGTCTTGTCTACTCTGTTTGCCATGTTCCCTGTCACCAGTCTCTTTGTGGTGATTGTTAGTAAATTAACCTTTACCCTGGGCCAAGGTTCCTCTACGCCTCAGGCCCCTTTCAGGTCTTGTTCTCTCATTTCCAGGATTTCAAGAACATAACAGTAGTTTTTGCCAGCCTTCCCTGTCTTTCTCCACTTCAGGAGTCCAGGCTCCCCAAGGCAGTTGAGCTGGCTCCAGTCTGTGCAAGCAGCCTGCAGCCAGGAAGAGGACCCTCCATTTCTCTCCCGACCCCAGATGCTGCAGCCTCCTGCCTGAATACCAATGAGGAGCCCAGCAGGGGAGGGCAAAGGAGATTATGAGGCCAGGTGCCTTCTCCTGGACAATAAATGTTTTAAATCTCACAGAAATGGCACATGCTCCAAAGCTGCACAGGAAAGACCAGGGCCGAACAGCAGCAGGAACATCCCCATCAGGAAAGCACAGATGGCATGCTGCCCGCCTCCCTAAAATCCAGCTAAATAAAGTAAGAAAAGTTTTATCTGGTTTGAATGCATAAAGGTGGCCACTAAATGCTTATTCTAAATGTATGAGTCAACTATGTTCAATGTATACTGGCTGCAGCCCTTATTTACTGCCCAAACTTAAAATTTACCTCTGGATTTTCTGGTCATCGGGTCTGATATAATAAGGATAAATAATAATATTTTAAAATTATACTGTAAGCTCTTACCTCAGGACTAATAAATTGCTCATGAGATATGAGCTAAATCTATATAATTTATAACAAAATTTGGCTTTAAGCTTATAACAAAAGGCTTATAATTAAAAGTCTATACATGGACACACACGGACACACACACACACACACACACACACACACACACACACGTGTGTGTGTGTGTGTGTGTGTGTGTGTGTGTATATATATATATATATATATATATATATATATGGTTTGGCCCATATGTATACATAGTCAACTCCTGTTTAAGATGCATATATATGCATGCACATACACAACTTAAACTTAACTCTCTCTCTCTCTATATATATATCTATATATAAATGAGCTGGACTTAATTATGCATATATATGCTTATAACTTAGATTCAACTATTATAGAAAACAAAACAAAAAAACCTACTCCTAGTTTCAGATGCTTTATGTTGGTACAGTGTTGATGCAAATTTAGAGTTCTTTTGTTATGGCATATGTATGTTTAAAATATTGTAGCCACACAATATATTCTAGACTACTGAGGGGAACCACAAGAAAGACTCTGATAAATGTTTTTTATGTTTGGAAAATAAGAAAGAAGGCAGGAGATTGGAAAAATAAAGAGAAAGAAAAGGAAAGAGGAATTAGTCTGAAGCAAAAATGTCTTAGGAATCAAAGGAACAGACTGAAGGTATATAGAAGGTTGTAGAAGGCCAGAGGGGATGTGAACTATGTTGGTTATGGTTTCTTATACCTGCAAATACTGAATTTAAAATTTGAGCATATTAGGTTAATTATGGTTGGTTTTCATTTTAAAAATAGCTGATGATTCTTCAGTGCAAAATGTTTATTAAAAAAAGACATATACATATATATATGAACACATATATGGCTTGGATTTAACTCTATATATGTGAATGTAAGCTAGCTTTAACTCTGTATGTGTATGTAACTTGGATCCAACTGTGCAAATGTGTGCATGTAATTACTGTTTAGAAAAACATGTTTTAAACAGCAACCATATGGCTTTCCTCCATCTTGGCTGGTGACCCCATCATGATATAGACAGCCCCCTGGTTGACAGGCAAGTTTTACTAAGGTTATAACCTTATATAGATTTTATACATAGTAAAAGAGCTATTCAGGTTAACAAAAGCTAACTTAGAGATTTACACCTAAGTCTTTGCCAAATGTTCAATCGCAAGCTTCTAGAGAATTTAAACAGATAGCTACATATGTTTGATAAGATATTTAATAAGATATTAAAGCTAACCTCAATGCTTTTATACACAAGAATGTACCTTGCTCTGGCAACTAAACTTTGCAATTTAAGAGTTGCCCAGGTGATAATGGCTTTAAAGGCATGAAGGGATTGTAGGGAACAGCTGAGGGTGGAAAAGGAGAATCCATTTGCAATGATGGATCCTAACAGTTTTGGAAATGCCAGGGCCAGATGACAGTCATCAGAAGCACCAGCCACAGTGAAATGGAGCAGGCTGAGATCTGAAAGGCAGGCTATGTATATGCTGCCAAGGGTGGGGCCAAAGAAATGATCCAAGCCTTTAAGTTAAACAACTAAGAGGATTGTGAATGAATCCCAGATATTGAACTTTGGGACTGTTTGCACTTGGAGCTTGGTTTTACCTTATACAGGTTATGGTTATGATATGTTCTCTCCCTCTTAAAGTAAAAAGGGTACTTTATTGTTGATATTGCAGGAAGACATTTGAGAGATTTTAATTTTTTATGAACAGTTTTTAAAAATATCTAAATTTATAAGACTATGGAACTGAGGTAATTAATTACAGAGATAAATTTTACTTAGTTCCTTGCATATGTTTTCAGGATAGAAACAAAGTTTGTCTATATACCAGATATACCTGGACAGGCTTCAAGTACTTCAGAGATCTGCAGAATATAGCATTTAAAATGTTGACTAAAAAGCTTATTATATCAGACAGAGACTCCTAGATCCTAGCAGTGACCCAAAGTCTCCAAAGATTACAGGGCACCACGATTTCTCTACCTGGATTATGGCAATCCTGACCACTGGGCAAGATGCCCTGATGAAACACCTGCCACGAGGACCCGGCCAGACTGTGGACAAGCAACAGGACACTGGAGAATCGACTGCACCCCGTTTGCCTAGACAAAGTAAGGTTGGTCTACCCCATGTCCCTCTTCCATAGAAAAAACTCTCCTCTTATAGGCCTGGCAGGCAAAGATTGATGCTGTTCTGATACTTCTGTCTGGGTATGGACTAGTCTCTATCATATTCTGCTAGATCCAGAAGCTGCTTGGTCTGCACTCAGGTATAATTTATCTTTCTTGGATCTCCGACAACATTGACGGCTAGGCTAACTATAACTCTGTCAGTTTAGCAGTATTGGACAACCAGATTAATATATATATATTATATACACATTACATACATATACATATATTAATATATACATATATTATGTATGTCTCTTGATAAAAAAGACAAGCAGGTTTGCCTTACTCATATGCTTCATAACAAGAGACAAACAGATTTCAAATATGATTTGAAAAGACTGCTCTCAATAATAGCTGCCTATATACCTGATAAACAATTAAATGTAAACCTAAAAGATGTATCTCATCAGGCCAAAGACATCTCTGTCCAATCTATACCTGGCTTGTGGGACAGAAGAAAAATGTACATGCTTTTAACTCAAATACATAGTTTTTGCTAGGACTCAAAAATATAAAAATGATGTAAAATTCATACAGGCTTCAAAGGATCAAAAAAGTCCTAAGACTTAAATCTATTTCTCATAGATCAAAAGGACTCCAGCCTAAATTTCCCCTACCTATCTATTCCTGAGGATGATGTCTCTCTCCCTCTCCTGTCTTGGGACTTCTCCCTTTCTCCAATTACTAAGATTTTGGGCCTAAAAGTTCCAATTATAATTTCCCCTTAAATTCCTAAATTTTAACTTGTCTCTAGTCTGTACCTGTTTCAGCAGGTTTCCACTTGACTGACACACCTACGAATCAGCTGCTGACTTCAACCTGTGAGCCATGGGTTTGCTAAAAAGCTGACATGGACCAATCCAGCCGACATGAATGCTCCTTGTCTGCAGCTGGGTCAAATCAGATGCTTCTGATAAGTGTCTTCTGGCATAAATGCCCTCCTTACCTTTGATTAGCCTTTTAGCCTTCCTGGGCCCTGACCATCAATCCCATTTCAGCTTGAAGCAGCTATAGAACAGAATAATCCCTGCCCCAAAAACAGGCTAAAAAGGCCAAGTCAAAGGCTTAAAAAATTATTATTTTTATATAAATCATTCAGAATTATAATCTGGCTCATATTTAGACACAGAAGAATCCAAGGTTTGATTCTGGTTATAACTTAAGGGGGGAAGGAAAGGTCCAGAAATATAGAAATATAAAATTGTAAACCTAAAAAAAACAAAAATAAAAGCTGACAGTCATCAGCTCTAAAGATTAACTTCTAACAGTGGCTCTCTGCTTACAGCCAGCTTCTCTATCAACAGCCAGGGGTTAACTTTTAGCCCCCTTGCCCCTGACAGCCAACAACTGCCCAGACCAAAGTTAACTTTAATAATTGTTCTACATGACTCCTAGCATGACTCCAATGCCTAATGCTTACTTTTGCTATAAAAAGAGGCTTGAAATCCACCCGTTCACCATAGCTTCAGAATCTAGAACCCTGGCTAACTGATAAGCTTTTGTGCCCCATGGCTATTTTCTTTCTCTTTCTTTCTTTTCTTTCTTTCTTTTCTTTCTTTCTTTCTTTCTTTCTTTCTTTCTTTCTTTCTTTCTTTCTTTCTTTCTTTCTTTCTTTCTCTCTCTCTTTCTCTCTTTCTCTCTTTCTCTTCCTCCCTCCCTCCTTCCCTCCTTCCTTTCTTTTTTCTGGAATAAAGTCTGCTTCTAGTTTAACACACTTTGGTGGTCTGTCCCCCCATTACTTCATGACCCCAGACCCAACACGTCCATTTCCCACCTTGCTGTTTTGGCTGTTCTCAGGGAATATGGATCCTCATGGCACTGCAGTGGTAAATGCAAGCTGGCTGTCTGACTGAGTTTATTTTATGGAAGAATTTTCCATGAGAGAAAAATAAAAATAAATTCTCCATAAGTGATCAGACCCTTTAGTGTCACATCATCCTTCTACCTGCACTCCCCACTTAGTGGCTTCTCTTCCTCTGCTTTGTCCTTAATGGCCCAGTAGCTAAGGTAAAGGAAACCACCCACTCTGGAGGAATATGGAGGTTAGTGTCTTGCTCTCCTGGGAATGTGGTACTTCTATTCCCCGTTTCCCACCACACTCAGCACAGGTGTAGTGTTTTCCTTTTATTTCCTGTTTTTGACCTCCAGCCTTGGTTGCACACAGGGTGTTGTTTCCTTCAGATTTCTGGGAGATGGATTCTGCTAGTGGGTTCTAGTTGAGACTACAGTCAGAGCTCTGGGACCCCAGTGTCTGAGCTGCTTCTCCAGCTACTGCTCCAGAGCTGACTCGGAGGGTATCATTCAGTCCCTCTGCTTTGGATTAAGTCCCACTTAGATCCATTCCTCACTTCCAAACTCAGATAGCAAGCTCATCCTTTAACATTATCTCTTTTCCAGTGCCACTAATCTAGCTGTGGCCTCTTCTATCTTTCACTTGAATGGTTTCAAATAGCCCCACAGAGCTCACCTAGCTACAACTCTAGGCCCCATGCTCAGCTAGAATACCTTTCTGAACTCTGACTCTATTAACAGTAATCTCATTTTCCCATAACATATATAATGTCCCTTTTAAAGAAGGATGGCCTGTGTGGGTTTGAATGAGAATGTCTCCATAAGGCTCTGGTATTTGAACACTTGGTCCATCGCTGGTGGTGCTGTTTGGGAGGTGTGGCCTTGCTGGAAGATGTACATCCTGGGGGTCCCAGTGCATGCTCTCTTTGCTTTGTGCTTGTGGTTCAAGATGTATGCTTTCAGATTTCTGTTCCTGCTGCCATGCTTCCCCAACATGAGAGACTCTTGCCCTTTGGAACCACAAGCCCAAATAAACTCTTTCTTTTGTTGTTCTGGGCATGCTCATTTATGCTCATTTATCACAGTGGCAGAAAAGCAGTTAACACAGCTCCAATCTACTTTTCCAGCTCTTGTTTCAGCATTCCCAGCTAACTGTTAATACTACAGGTTCCTTGATATGGTTACACTACCTCTTCACACGAGCTGTTTCCTCCCTCTTAAGCCCTCTCTGGACGTTTGCTCACTGCTCACCTCACAGCCTCAGCTAGTTAGCTTTCTTTCCTGATGAGAAGGATCTTTGAAACCAACCTCTCAGCAACCAGAGCACACCGGCCAAGTCTGCTGTCACAGTACGTCACTGTTCTGTAACCACACTGGCACAGCATGTTTCTTCTGAGTGCAGGGATGCATCTGTCATCACAGCACCCCAGTGCAGCTTAGCACGTGCTCTAGACTTTGGTAAACACTCCAAGGCTTTTTTAAAAAGGAAATCAAACCTAGGTACTCATTATTCTGTCTACACCTCTGCACATTTCTATAATCATTTTCATTCAGCTTGTTGGGCTTAAGTCACCTTATCCTTTATCTGCTTCGTGGCACTGGCCGAGAAAGGCAAGCACTACTGTCTGTGGATAGCTCTATTTTTAAATCTCAAATAACACAAACACTGAAGAACCTAAACGTATGTCTCAGCAGAGAAGTATTTTTATCACCTATTAACAAATTTGGGGAAGGAGAAAAATGTCATTTTCAAGAAAATTCAGTATATACTTCTAGCAACACAGAATTCCTACTTTTGATGATGGCGGTGGTGGTATGAAATACCAATAGCCTTGTCTTTTGAAAGGATCTGTCATGTTGCTGATGTACTCATTCTGAGCAGAAACTTCATGCCGGAGTTCAGCAATTTCCTCTAAAACATTTTCAATGCCTCCTTTATTATCTGTAAAGGAAAGCCATTCTATGAAGTTCATGCATTCATGAACTTCCTTTCTTTTCCAACACAGAAGAGAGACACCGTGAGTCAACAGGTTCTACCATGTCCCCAAAGCTGACTTTCAGCCTGCCCTTGGGTAATTACTTTTTGCTGAACACTGAGAGAACATCCTTTTGTACATCGATTATAAAGTAATCCACAGAAAACAAACAGATTTGTAAACATTATTTTTTTTAAATTACAGTCTACATGTTGTCTTTTTATAATCAAATCCCCTAACACCACATGGTCAAATGCTTTCTAAGATCTTTAAGTTGTCAAGTAAGCCATGACTCTCGAGGTCAGGCAAGGAACTGGCTCTTTCTGTTAAGTGCTTTTTTCTAAAGGCAGAAGAAGGCAGTTCAATTTGATAATTACAGAACCACCCAAATCAAAGCCAACAGTACTTTACCAGTCCCAGTGAGGTTTAGTACATCCCGAAGCCTTGTGATCTCAGCTCTTTGCTTCGCCATGGCCTCATTCAGCGTCTCCATCTCCAGCAGCTGTGAGGTTGCTCCTTTCGAACCTACATCTGCATTCTCCATCTCAATGCGAAACTATTAAAAAGCAGACATACCAAGTTACAGGAGCATTTACCCTGTAACGTAAGAATCCCTCAGTTTTCGTGCACTTTTTACAACGAGGACACCACCTTACCCTTTCGTTCTCATGGCACTGCAGAGCTGAGCTAAAGTGCTGCCTACGAGTGGACTTCCGTGTGCTGAGCAGTCACCACAGGGCCTAGTTTAGACACCCAGGAGCTCACAAGGAGGGCGGCTCCAGGAACCAACACCGACCTGCCCTCTCTCTGCAGAGTGTCTCTGGGTACCAACACT